TGACAGATTTGACTTGTACCCTTGAAATATGCTAATTGGCCATTTCTTGATCAGGTTGATTATTATGCCTTAGACTATGTCATCATTAGATTTTTATAAGACACATTATTTCAGAAGATTGTGAGAAATACCATTTCCTTCAGCACTTACAGATTTATATGGCACAGTGCATAGGAGATTATTCTTGGTTGTTTTGGGATATTACAGCCTAACAAAAGGCTATATCATACCAAATTCTATGCAATGTATTATTTGTTAGGGCTCTTAAGAAGTTAAATATAAATCATTATCAAACTAATAAAAGAATGGCATTGTATTTAACCTTAACAGGCTTCTAAGAAGGCTACAACCTCTTTCTTAGGAATTTGTAAAACAATAATTATCACTACTCAGCAGGCAATGGCATAGATGTGCAGATGGGACATGGGGGTGTAGAAGGGCCTTCAATTGGGAAGGATCATCCCTTTGTAAAAAATTGATGAGCAGCTACAAAATTATAAATTATTACAATTGACAGGTGACATTTTAAAGAGAAAAACCTTTGCATTCTATTAGACTTGCACCAAAATTCTTTCAAGAACATAATAAAATATAACCCCAAAGAATATATAATTTGAACATCGACTTAGGAATGGAGGAGGGCAGGTGGCAGTCAACTCAATATGGCACTGACTTGATTGGCTAAAAGAGCAATTTAGGATGGTAGTTTTAAAATTAATTATAAAATACGCATTGTCATCTGTAAGTTTTTATTTACTTTCTTTGCTCTTCTAGGTTGATTAGAGATGGCAGCATTGACCTGGTGATCAACCTCCCCAATAACAACACGAAGTTTGTCCATGACAATTACGTGATTCGGAGGACAGCGGTCGACAGCGGAATCCCCCTCCTCACTAATTTTCAGGTAAGTTCCTTTCCTTAGATGTAGGCTACTTGGGGGTTTTATTCCTGTGTTTCCTTTAAGAGTTTTAGTCAATATAACACGTCAATCTTTTCCCCTCCTTGTAAAATTCAGAATAGAGAGGGATTTTTTCATAGCCTCTAAGATAATGGTGTTAATATGCTATATCATGAACTAAATGGGATAGTTGGTGATCAAGCAACTGATAATCAAAAGCCATAGACTTTCATTACCCATACAATTATCTTTTGAATAAAAAGTGATAGGGTAGCATGGAATAAAGTTACTAATTTAATTCCACCGGTTCTAAATGGAAGCCACCACATAAAAGTAATAGGTTAATGATAACTGAGGTCCAGATGCAGCACAAGTCCTTGTCCAATTCACAGAAAATGATGCATGAGGTCCGCTCTGTCTCACTTGGGCGTGACTCACTGAATTTATCGCAGAGAGAAACACAGATTTGAGATTCATTAACTTTCTGCCCATCATAATTTTTTCTTTTATCCAGAGTCAGGTTAACCCATGTGAGGGGAGAAATAAGCTTATTCATGGTAAGGTCTGAGATGTAGGAGAAGGTTGCCATTAAATAAACATTACTCTGCCTTTTATCCCATGCCCCTTTGAAAGTTAGGGGCAGTCACTTGTGACTTTTCACTCCTGGTTCATTAAACATTCCTTTTCATCTCCTGCAGGTTGCTAAGATTCTCACCATTCTGTTTTCAGGTGACCAGACTTTTTGCTGAAGCTGTACAGAAATCTCGCACAGTGGACTCCAAGAGTCTTTTCCACTACAGGCAATACAGCTCTGGAAAGGCCGCATAGAAGAGCAGCCCCCCAGCCTGGTTCTTAGTAAATCTGAGCCGCATTTCTCTGAAGGAACCAATTAGCAACATTGTTTCCCAGGGATGCCTATTGACATCAAACTTCATTTCCTTTTGTTATTACGCTTTCCTATTCTGTATCCTTCACAATTAAACTGTCAGTCACTTCTTCAAAAACCTTCCTCAGAGTCCTTTCTAAGTTACTGACTCTTCATGAGATTTTGCCGATTTGCTAATACTTTATTTTTGGTGGACTAGGCTTACTTACGTGCATATTTGTGCTGATTGATGATGATCAAGGTAGAAAAAGTTGCTGTTCTGTCTTCTGAAATCTCTCTATAGTTTAAAGACAGTACTGTTCTTGTGTTTTTATCTAGTATCTGTCACACTCAGGACACTTTAAACTGGGCAGGATATTATAAAAATTGAACTGAATGAAATAACAGATTTAATTTATGAACCTCTCCATCATGATGCTTCTGTCTGGCTTCCTTCTGATGATCATTCTCACCTATCTGGCTGATCCAGTAATACTATTATCCCTTCCTATGACACTGAGGTTGAGAAATGTGAGGGAGGTCATTAGAGGATGGATCTCTTTAAAGAATACTGGTTTGCAGTTTTGCTTTGGACTGTATCAGCAGATGATGGACAATGCTGAGGAGTGTGATTCTTGTTCTTTTCATCGAATTTAATGGGGTCCAAGTGAAATCTTTAGATTTGTGCCATTCCTCCCCCCCCATTTTGGAGTACCTTGAAAGTCACATTCATCCCCTCAGATAACGGATGCTGTTGCTGTGCTGGGTCCCACGCTGTACTATGAATTCCACTCCTTGTAAGCACCAGGGCCCCATTCCTTCTACATAACAAGAAAAGCCCTTCCTGCTGGGCAGCCCTTTTCACTTTTAAATGTTTTGTGTTATTACAAGTGCTCTAATTGTGGACTTTTAAATAAAATACTATCGAGGTCATGCAGTTGTATTTTTGCACTTATTTATTCCTTTATTTTACATGAATATAGAAAATCAGATCACTTCTATGTTGGAACAGCATTTGGGGCCAGGATTACCTGGCTAATTTTTTTTTCTATACAATTCCATATAGGATATGAGTAAGTTAATGTTGAAAAAAGTAATGAAGATTTGGCTTATATTTTTATTCTTTTTCTTGTCTCTCCTTTGCTTATAAGTCTCACTATAAAATTTATTTGGCGCTGATGTGGTTATATACCACCTTGAATCAGGGTATGACTACAACCGTACCCTGACTAAGGAATGCTACAAATATAACCTAAAGTAAAATTTAAGAAATGGTTTTTGCATAACTCAGAAGAGTAACTCAGTCTTCTCCGCGGCTGATGCATATTATCTGATGGAGATAGTGTCAGCGAGCACAGTGATGCCCAGACCTCCCACTTCAGTGGTGGCTCTGCGATGGTCCTAACACAGAGATGCTTGCAACAGCTTTCATTCCTTCCTTCTCACCCCACTGTCAATTGACCACCCCTTTGTATAAATCTACATGACAGTTTGTGAAATTCATTTTCTCCTCTCCTCCTTGTTGCCGCTGTGACTGAGACCTTTATTATTTCTTCCCTGTGAGCCCAGAATCATGTCATCCCCAACCACTCGTTCAATCACCTGAAAATATTTAATGAGTTGCTGCAGTGTCTTATCTTGAATTTACTACAATCTCTCCTCCAGTGCTTTTCTGTTACTACACTGTTTGCCACTAGCACCAGTGCCACCAGCACCCTAATAATGAACATTATTGGAACACCTATTATTTCTCAGGCAGTTTTCAGTACTTTACATGTATTAACCTACTTAATCCTCAAAATATCCCCGGGAGCAGGTGCTGTTATCTCCATATCATCAATAAGAAAACTTAGGCATACAGAAGATAAGTAACACGCTCAAGGTCATAGAAAATGCATTCTCAGGGGTTTTTCTTTTCATGAAGATAGGAGTGTAAAAAAAAAATAATTTCTCAAAATAAAAAATAATTTGTAACGGTGAAGAAAATACTTCCCTTGCCTGCAGAGATCAGGGAAGGGCATTTGGAGGTGATGGCTTCATGCATTGAACAAAGTTTTAGTTCCCAAGGAAATTTGGAGGTAAAGCATTCATTTAAATAAATTACAAGGGATTTGATATGACTGGAGGGTAAGGTGTGTGCCCAGAGAAGCAGCTAGTGGCTAAGGTTGAGTCTTGATTCTCTTAGTTGTTCATGTTTAAACCAGATAAAAATTGTCAAGCTTTTAATTTCGAAATAATGTTAGGCTTAAAATTTAAAAATAAAAGTAATGCTTTACCTTTCTTTATTCTGTCTGTAATCGAATCTACCTACCATCTCCCTGTCTAAACACACACATGTACCATGTGTGCACTCACAAAGAAAAAGATTACACTTTGACTAAAAGTGACTAATCAGGCTTTTCATGACTGATTTAGAAATGCCACTCAGCATTTGAAATAAACAGAACTGTTTGACAAAACTTGAATCAATAGTTAATTTTTATATTGTGGGAATTTAATAAAGGTTCCTACATCTTCATATTAATTTTAACAGGCTATTTGTGAAATAAAATAAAAATGTAAGAGCAATAGCAAGTAATCAAACAACATTGTTTCTAAATAAACCCTATGGTTTTGTTGGTGAAATAAAAGTTTGTTTTTTTTTTGGTTGGTGTTCAGTTTGAACCCACCACCTCTGGCACATTGGGCCAGCACCCTACCCTTTTGAGCCACAGATGCCACCCTAAAATATAAGTTTTTAGAAAACCAAATTCTATCCATGCTACTAAAAGTGGATTACAATAAATTTTGGTTTTGTTGCCTATCTACTTTCTAATGTTCTAAGCTTTAAAAAGCACTTAAATATAGATAATAACACATTCGAGAACTTTGGTTGGAGGAAAGAAATGTAAGAAAATAGAAACATATTTATGTTCAAATTTGGCAAGTTTTGTCCTTTTGGAACATTTTTATTCCTTCATATAGACAGGTCAACACATTTTAATTTAATTTTAATTAATTATTGAGACAGAGTCTCACTCTGTCCCCCAGGCTAGAGTGCTGCAGTGTCAGCCTACCTCACAGCAACCTCAAATGTTTGGGTTCAAACAATCGTCCTGCCTTAGCTTTCCAAGTAGCTGAGACTACAGGTGCTCTCGTCACAAAACCTGGCTAGTTTTTCAACATTGTAGTAAACACAGGGTGTCACTTTTCTCAGGCTAGTCTTGAACTCCTGAGTTCGAGTGATCCTCCTGCCTTGTCCTCCCAGAGTGCTAGGATTCCAGACATGAGCCACTGTGCCCTGCCTAGGTTAACATATTTTTAAATGTCTGAATCTGTTATATATCACAAGTATAGACCCCACAGGGACTATGTTTGTAAAGCTGAGTTGTAGCAAACTGAAGTAGCCTTTTCCATACTGAGAATTTCGTAGCACCCAAGAAGGATGGGTTCTGCTATGTGGGGGAGAACAGGAGCTCCGCCAGCTTGTGAAATGTAAAGAAATAAAAAATGACTCCTCTATAGATTTAGGATTTTATAGCTTTGCACAGGTAAGTATAATATTTTAGCTGTACTCTGTCAAACTTCCCTCTTAAACAGCGTTCCTACTGGAAACTTTTAAAAACAAGTACAACATTCATTTATCTCAACAGCTGCAGGTACTTGAACCTCAGCCTCTGCAGTGTCCACAGCCTCTTGAACAATGAATGTGGAAATTATCAGAGAAACAAACCATGGCTGGATGCAGTTAAGTGCTCTGTAATTACATGCCGGTGTTACCATTTGGCTGCTGGTGCAGCCCCCTGTGGGCACAGGTGCCATAAATGCTCACACACACTCAATCAAATCCACAAAGACCGTTCATTACATATCATTTAAAACACCCTCAGGTTGAAAAAGACTTTAGCGCTCTCCCCGCTTTCTTTTACTATTTCTTTTCCCTTTGTTACACATAAAAGTTCTGTTTTTCTTAATGAATATTACCGTGCTATTTTATGAGAAGCTGTTCCAATTGGCGAGTGTGGAGCTAATGCGGCAAGAGGAAGAATGTCTTTCCTCCCTCTGAGTGGCTCCCTGGGCTGCGTGAAAAATTGGTAATAATTGTCCCTACTTCTTTTCTTGTGCATAATGTAGGGTGCAAGGGCTCCAGAAAGAGAATTTAAGTACCTACAGCTGTTGAGATCAATGCGGCAATGGAAAAAAAGACTCAGCAAGTCAAAATTAGCACCGTTTCTACATGATGCGTGTTGCTCTAAGATCATTTTTGAGTCTTTACAACTTTCATTTTATAAAGGACTCAAACCCACAAAGAAGACTGTTTATGGCCAACCAAAACAAACAAAGTAA